CTTTCTTATTTCCTTTCCTTCCCTTATTCCTCTTACATAGAAACATAGAATGTGATGGCAGATAAGAACCATTCGACCCATCTAGTATGCCCAATATTTCAAAATACTTTTAATTAGTGCCTGGCTTTATCTTAAGTCTAGGATAGCCTTATGCCTATCCCACACATGCTTAAACTCCCTCACTGCGTTAACCTCTACCACTTCAGCTGGAAGGCTATTCCGTTCATCCACTACACTCTGAGTAAAGTAATACTTCCTGATATTATTTTTAAACCTTTGCCCCTCTAATTTAATGTCCTCTTGTTGTGTGGTAGTTTTCCTTCTTTTAAATATAGTCTCATCCTTTACTGTGTTAATTCCCTTTATGTATTTAAATGTTTCTATTACATTATGCACTGCCTGGCCAAAAAAAGTCGCCTCCTGGATTTAACTAAGCAAATAGGTAAGGGCCTCCTATTGGATAGTTACTGCATGGGTGATTATCTTTCAGCTGGCAACAAGGTATTTAACCCCAACTGATGCAATGAGTAGCTTCTTATTTCTTAAACAACCATTCTGAAAGACACATCCTGTGATCGTGGAAAAGATGTTTGTCTGTTTGAGAAGGGTCAAATCATTGGCATGCATTGGCATGAGAAAACATCTAAGGAGATTGCAGAAACTAATGAAATTGGGTTAAGAACTGTCCAATGCATTATTAAAAACTGGAAGGATAGGGGGAACCACCAGTGATGGGTGCATCAGGGTAAGAAGAGAGGCAGATGAAGTGATGCACCCATCATGCCTAGTGCCTACTGTACAAGCCGGTGGGGGCAGTGCTATGATCTGGGGTTTCTGCAGTTGGTCAGGTCTAGGTTCAGCAACATTATGTGTCCAAAGAATGAGGTCAGCAGACTACCTGAATATACTGAATGACCAGGTTATTCCATCAATGGATTCATATTCCAATATGACAATGCCTGCATGTATCGGGCTCAAATTGTGAAAGAATGGTTCAGGGAGAATGATACATCATTTTCACATATGGATTGGCCACCACAGATTCCAGACCTTAACCCCATTGAGAATCTTTGGGATTTGCACAGTGGTCCAACTCTCCCATCATTAATACAAGATCTTGGTGGAAAAATTAATGTAACACTGGATGGAAATAAATCTTGTGACATTGCAGAAGCTTATTGAAGCAATACCACAGCGAATGCATGCTGTAATCAAAGCTAAAGCCGGTCCAACCTTTTTTATCGGTGGCGACTTTTTTCTTGGCCAGGCAGTGTATTTAGAAGTAATACAAGTAATATTTTTTTGGTGATGAGGCTGATTCATCAGGAAGCATTATACTAACTTTTTTAAATACAATAAACATTCAATGCAACATGACCCCTACATCAAGGGTCGAATTTACATTTCAAGAACCTTTAGGCACAAAATTGTAAGGTGACCCCTGCCCGCCTAAATAATCTGCAGGTACGCATACATAGTGAGTTTGATGAATTTACTTACTGGAGGACATTGCAGGCATAAACATGTCCAAACATCATGTATTTGGTCGCAAATTGGCCCTTCATGCTTTCCATGAAAAGAGAAACCTAAAGAACTTGAGGGAACTAGGTCTTACATCAGAGGATAATGACATTTATAACATACTCACAGATCTGCACTCTGAACAAGAACCTTTGGATTCTCTTACAGACTGTAAACCTCTGTGTTGGTTTACTCCAAACCTCAAAGAGTTCCCATGTATAGATTTATTCGTACAAATGTGTACTAACGATTTAGAGTTTCAAAGTACCCAACAGTGCCACACTTCCAATCTAAAATTTGAGGAAAGTCTGGCTCTACAAGAATTACAATTAGAGACAGAAATTGTGATAAAATCCTCTGATAAAGGAGGAAATATAGTCCTTATGCAGAGAACTCAATACATTGATATGTGTATGAAGCATTTATCAGACGATAATGCCTATCAGGTCCTGAAAGAAGATCCTACCAAAGGATACCTTAGGGAATTACAGCTATTGGTACAAGGTGGTTTAACAGACAATGTAATAACACAAAATGAATATCGATACATTGTGTCTCAGTCTAATATCACTATAGCTACATTTTATTGTCTCCCCAAGGTGCACAAGGATTTGTGTAATCCTCCGGGGAGACCTATTGTTTCAGGCAATCACAGCCTAACTGAGAGAGCCAGTCAATTTCTGGATAAACTACTACAACCGATAGTACAAGGCCTTCAGTCCCATATACGGGACACCAAACAGACGTTATTGACTTTGGAAAACCTCACAGTGCCACCATATACGTCTTTGGCCAGTCTAGACGTGGTGGCATTGTATAATAACATTCCACACGAAAAAGGTCTAGCAGGTGTTGCCTACTTCTTAGAAAAGGCTGAGACCTTCAATGAACAGGAACAACGGTTCATTTTGCGGCTATTAGAATTTGTATTAACACACAATTATTTTACATTTAATGGGAAATATTTTTTACAACTCCGGGGCACAGCTATGGGATCATCGTGTGCACCCAGCTACGCCAACCTATTTTTGGGTTGGTGGGAAGAGACCATGGTATTTACTGACTCGAATGCCATTTACACTTCATCTATATTAAAATGGTATCGCTATATAGACGACGTGCTAATTTTCTGGATAGGTCCCTTTACGTCGTTCAAACAAATGGTAGACATACTTAATGTAAATTCAATCAATCTCCAACTAACTCACGTGATACATGAAAAACAACTGGTATTCCTGGATTTATTGATTACCATCCAAGAGGATGGATTAATCTCTACATCACTCCATAGAAAACCTACAGCAACCAACAGTTTGCTTCACTGGCAGAGCTTCCACCCACATCATATTAAGGCCAATATACCCTATGGCCAATACTTAAGGGCAAAAAGAAACTGCTCAAATCAGGAAGACTACGAAAAGGAGGCAAAGGAACTAAAAAACAGATTCAAGAATCTGGGCTACCCCAACAGAATATTAAAAAGAGCCTATCAAAGAACTAAAGCTGTAGATAGGATAGAAAGTCTGCACAGACCCCCAAAAAATAAATCTACAACCCCAGGGGTCACGAGGTTTATAGGCACCTTTGATAAAGATTGGAACCAAGCACTACAGGTTTTGAGTAAAAACTGGCCTGTACTACAGTATGATACTTGCCTAAAAAACACTATCACTGAACAACCCTCAATGACTTATCGCAGAGCAAAAAATTTGGCAGACCATCTAACACACAGCCATTTAAAACCAGCACAAATTACATCCACTTGGCTTCAAACCAAAGGTCTCTTCAAGTGTGGCCATTGTAAGGCCTGTGATTTTATATTTCCCTCAAAAACTGTACACAATAAACGAACCTCAAAAGACGTAGTGGTGAATTCATTTATCAACTGTAGCTCCACTAATGTTATTTATCTTATAACATGTGAATGCGGGCTACAGTACATTGGCAAAACTTACCAACAACTGCGCAGACGGATTCTGCAGCACATTAATTCCATTACGAACCTACGCATTGATACACCAATTGCCAAGCATGTACGTCTGAATCATGCCTCTAAGTCAAACGTACTTAAATTTCAGGTGATCCAAAAAATGTTTCAGAACCACCGGAAGGGAGACATTAACGTTGCCCTTCTAAAAGCTGAGTCCCGTTGGATCTATTCTTTTCAAACACTATATCCAAAAGGATTAAATGAGGAGTTTAACTTCACTCCATTTATCCATGCATAAAGACTAACTGGTGACTTGTTCCCTCCTGGCCATTGAAGATTTTACAACACCAAGTGGCCTTATGGCCATCTACATTATCAGCCAAAGATGCATGATTTTTTCCATCTGGAAATTCATCTTTGACTCAAAGACTCTAAAACAATTTGGGAGAACTGAGACTTATGGTTTCTCCAAACGAACAGAACTATCTGACTAAGTGTCTTAAATATAAACACTACTATATCTCACCACATCAATAGAGGCAGTACAAAGCATTCTATTATGTGTATTCACCATTCAGTAACATATTGGACAACTCTTTGTTACCAAAAGGTCTATGTATCAATTTGTATTCAAATACAGATTTCTACCGTATAAGATCTAATGTCTCCTGTCCTGTAGTTATCCCCTTCAGTTTACATCATGACCAGGATATTACAGTTTTACAACCTGTTAAGTTCAGCCATTTTTTATTATTGTCCTTTAGTTTACACCATAATCAGGACATTACTGCTTTACAACTTGTTAAGTTCAGCTATTTATATAGTATTTTGGGTTTTTTGTATGGAATTTATTTAAATGATTAATATTTATATTCTTAATATCAATTGTATCATTATATTTATCCAGCCCTATTTCTCTTCACAGCACACTGGACTCTTAAGGGTTAACTGTGAGAGATAGGGCTTCGATACACTTTCTTTCTCTTTTTTCTTTCTCTTGCCCCTCCCCTCTCTCATTCCGGCTAGACTAACAGCCAATCCGGAGAGAGGGCGGGCTATTTAAATGACATTCTGTTCATCTACCCGGTTCCCTTGAAAAGCCGTTTTTCGGCGAAACGCGCGTCGGGTTCAGTGCGGCAGAGGGTGTGGGAGGCAGACAGGGACGACCTTACAACGATTCACTAGATTCCAACAGCCACCCCTCTGCTTCATTCATTTATTCTATTTTAGACGCTGAATTAGATTAGATTTGTCTTT